ATGCCCAAATGATTCATCATTAATAGCTTTAGACGTTCTCTTTAAGCATATGGTTACTTCTGCTGGAAAGCAGATTTTGAAACCTGCTAAATTTTATCCTCTTAAACTACAAAAAGAAAAAAAAAAAGGAGGATAATAACGTGGAGCAATTGATCTAGTCATTTAGCAGTTCACATCAGAGAAAAGAGCACTCATGGAGAACCTCACCTTCCCACAAGGTCCTGCTGCTCCATTTAATCCAGTATCCACACCTGCAAGGTCACCAAAGCCGACTACCATTTCTTCTTCACATTCATTCTCCTCTGTTTTCAACAACCGACATCCCATTCTGCAGCAGTTGTAAAGGGAACAGGGAAGAAGAACTGAAAACAAATGAAGTACAGTGCAGGTACAGAAAGCACTTGCCATTAGAAATACATTGCAGTTTGATGTTTTCCTTAAATATATCATAAGCCTTGCAGGGAATCTAGGAGAAACAACAGTGTGCTAAGCAGAGAAATGACTAGGCTTCAAAAAGCGGCACATGAAAAATGCAGTCCAGCCCCAGTAACATGACCAATATTTGTCAGTCTGTGCCACAGGTCAACATAAGGAACCTAAAGTTTCACTGCCCATGTATAATCAGCTCTGCCTGGCATTGGGGCTCAGGTTCTAGCTTAAGAATATTAAAGTAGGAAGCCACTGTCAACACTTTCAGGACCAATTGACTACTTCAGTAAACTGGAATAGGTTTTTGGTAACCATTAGTTCCTTGAGGATTGGGTTGCTTTAAACCACGGAAAAAAATCTTTTTCTTTTTTGGTTTTTGTTTTTTTTTTTTTTTTTTTTTAAACCCTTATAGATGTATATATAAATCTTCTATCATTTATAAATCTCCTAAAAGATCTTATTTTATATAGACCAGAAAACTATATATGTAAATTATATGTCACATATACATACACATACACAAATTTTCAGCTCTATGTGAACCATTAAACCTTCCTTGGCATTCATACATTAACTTCTCGTGTACTTAAAGTATTTTGGGTCTAATTATATCAACTCAAAGATTTTTGTTAAAGAGAGGTCCCTGTAGCAATGCAGAACTCCAGCAAATAGTATAAGAACAGCCCTACATTCGACACCCCAGCACTGCCCTGCTTAGTGCACAGGATACACAAAAGGCATGGTACCCTATGCAGAAAACCTTGTTCTTAGAGCACAGCAGGAGCAAATTCAAAACTCCTATGCAGAAAACCTTGTTCTTAGAGCACAGCAGGAGCAAATTCAAAACTAAGTTATTTACAATAAACACTATGAAGGTGTATGCTCTGGCAATCCTATCCCATCTTTCAACAGACACAGAACCCTGAGCAATTCCTCTGTCCCTACTCGGCCCCAGTATCTAAATAAAAATTGCCCTAAGTAAAAGCATTTGTAGATGCTCTGCTGGCTTCAAAACACTTGGGCTCTTGCTTCCACAACCCACTTTAAAAGGCAGTGTCTTCATTCCTTTTTCCTCCTTTGCATTCTAGGTGATAGTGTGAGAAGCCTCCACATTTGTACAATCATTATGGTTCTTTATCAAGAAAACTATTAACAGAGACTCTGCAAATCACGCTAAAATCCCAGTCTGTCTCAAAGTTCCTGGCACATTGCTACAAACCAGTTTCTACTCAGACCTTGCCTATGTCTGGTTTGGGGGTTGGTTTTTTTTGTTGTTGTTTTGTTGGTTTTTTTAAGAAACATATATACACATTTACAGCTGTAAAATTACCACTGGTGCATACTAAGCCGTTTTCCACATTCCTCTACTAGAACTGCATCATTCAAACCCCCAGGCAATAGCTAAATCGGTTGGAAGGTCTGTGTAGATGCTAGTCCCAAAGACATACATAGGACTTTTGCCCAAGCTAGGGACAATGAAAATTAAAGACAAAATTTTCGTGCTAAGGACTGAATACAAGAAGCACAGGGTCAACCACCTTTGAGGTTTTATCCTTGAGCTGCAGTCAAGTCAACTTGGGTGAAGTCGTCCTAAATGGAAATAACAGAAGATGCTTCTTGAATGTGTCTAGCTAATTTGTAGAGCTGAAACATCTGAGAAGTTAACTTCTCTCCTCAAGAAGAATGGTCTGTTTGGAACTTTGTACTTATTTCGTTTCTCATGATGGAAATTATTTCACTTAATTTGGTTAGAGCTGCATTGACACAAGGGTTCATTAGGACAACCATTTGCTTGCAATTCAATTTAAAATTAAATACACTTTGTTGTTGATTTTATTACTTTTAAACTACTGTATCTATTGCCTTTATTAGCTGCTAATACACAATTATGAAGGTAAACAGTTTTCATTACTGAACATCAAACATTTAAATAACCACATTTGATCTCTTTTCGGGTTGCATCATTTTTCTCCTTTCCCTCCTTTTGCTGGGTATTAGATTCAAGAGAATAGTTTATTCAGTGATGTTAGGCCTCTTTCGTGCTCACCAGTATGTCACGGCAGAATATAGCTTCTTTGGCTGTATCCATGAGGATTATTTATTTCGTCCATTCATTTATTTACAGGTAATTTGATGCATGTATTTATCTAAAGGTCACCTATAGCTTGATCACAAAAACATTGCTCCAATTCATATTTCCTTCACTCTCTAATGGTAATTCAGAGGCAGGGATGAAGGGCACCATTTGGTCACCTTCTGAAGTGCAATGAAAAATTACAGCCCAAGTATCTGAAAAATGGTATCTGAAAATGGAGGTATCCAAAACAGAGGCCTCTTTCAAAAGCACAGGCTAAATTTTTCGAGGCCTGAGGTCCTTTGTTTGGGAGAAGTTCCATTCATTAATATCTGTAAAGCCCTGAAAGACCTTTGGAAGGAAAGCACATTAGATAGAAGTACAAAGTAGCCCTTATCTGACATACCTTTGAAAGCGTTCATGAATCCTGGCTCGCAACTTTTGTTTCTTGTGTGAGACTTCCTTGTGGTGCTTTGAGTCCCACATGCCAAAAAGAAAAAAAGAAAAAGGGAAAAAACCTACATTTTGTTTCCAAATGCACAGAAATAACATGGAAATAAAAGCCATAAATGTGCAATTTTCCAAATGTTTGCCTTAGGTCTTCAGGTTGAAAGTTTTCAGAAGCAATTAGGAATTTCAGCCACTATTACTTTATTCCATTATTTTTTCCATATATTTTTCCATATATTTACTCCATTACTTCCAAGGGAAAGTGAGCTCTAATCTTGTTTTAAAAGCTTGATTGTTACAATGTATATTTGTGCATTGTAGTGTCCCTACAGTCCTTAGTTTTACTACACCTAATACAGTCGTGCATGTGCGTACATACATATATGCACATATAAGCATGTTTGAACACACACAAGAAAATGTAACATGCAAAACAGTCATAGACTACCAGAGACCCCACAACTTGCCCCACTTTAAATCTGCTCCAGATCTTGAGGCTTTGTGTCACCATAGCTGTTTTCAAGTATTTGGTAAGAAGGACTAGCATTTTTGGATGTTTCAACATGTAGGAGGCTGACTTGCATGAGCAGTCCTCTCCCACCGCAGTTCTGCAGCTCTCCAGCACGAAGCTGGAGGGCCTTGAGTTATTTTACTCTTCCACAGCAAGCTGAAATAGTCAATCCATCAGGAAGCCAGCATCCACATCTTTTTGGTCTGTGTTCTCTGTGCAAAACCTGAAAACATTAACCCTGCTGAAGGCTGTAGACTCCGGAAAACAAAATTATTCTCCCTGATTTGCACTGGTCAGAGACCTTGCTCGATATTCAAGGGTACATCTCATGTTTCTTACTGGTGTCCCTGAGATCATCATAAAATGTGCATGCAACGCTAGTAATATACAAGAAGGCTTCCTACCATATACTGTCATCTAAACAGTGTAAAATTATGTTCCCCTTCCACTTTCATCAAGCCTCAAAGCCAAAAGAACATTTTGGTAGGGAAACAACGTAATAGTCAATGGAGAAAAATCCCCAATCAGAGGCTCCATATCTGGCTGTTGAAGTCTCTCCTTTCTTCCAAATCTCTGAATTTTTTCACATATATCGGGCTGTTTTCAAGGAAGCTAGGACTCTCTGTTGAAGACTAAGGCATTGGGAAAATTATTTGCAAAGCATCCTGCTTATTTCCAAAATGAAAATTATCAGAAGTATAAAAACAGACTACAAAAACATATTACAAAAGCCTGTGTGAGTAGCTGTTAACGTAACTTTTTTAAACCCTGTAAAATTAAAGCAGAGACAACGTAGTTGGCTTAAAATACAGTACGGTTTGTTGGTAGTCCCAACAGAGAGCCTCAGGTGGATGCCGGAAGTCCTCCAGGCCCTGCTCAAGCATCAGACATACAGGATTACAAAGGTCACATGACCAAACAAGCTCAAAGCAAGACCTTCCAGCTCTCCACCTGGCAGGTGTATCATGGGCAATGCTCCCTCCACCACTGCTCCTCAGTTAGTGGGAACCAAGCCCTCCTGCTGCCGGACAGCATTTGGCTGAAGTTTACTAGAATTCCCTGGAGCAGGGACCGGGACTCATTTCTCTCCTGCCCCACAAACACTGGCACTGATTTTCTTTCCCCAGCCTGGTGAATCACCACTTACGCTGCTTCCCCAGGAAGGGCTGGGAACTGGCTCCTGTCCCAGCTCTGCTCCAGCAGAGCTGGCAGCTGTTTGGTTAGGGGTGATCGAACCCACCTCATGCTACTTCCCACAGTCCGTGGGGACTGCAGCCACTGGGGAACGTTCCAGGAGAAAGGGCAGGTTGTTCCTCCCTGACTGCCCCACTGGGACATGCTCTTGCAGGCGTAGGGGACCCATCCCAGCAACAACAAGGACCAAGCAGCGATGTTCATCATCCCAGTAAGGCACAGGAGCCAGTCTGCCACAGCTGGGGCGTTTGAGAGGGTGCTCAGCAACTGAGCTCAAAGTCCCTGAGAAAGTTTAATGACAAAAACTACTGACCAAAAGGTATCAGGCATTCCCAGAGTTTGGTGGCAAATAGGAAGGGGTTTAAATTTGGGCTGAAGTAGTTAAAGCTAAAGTTCAGAAGTCAGGGGGAGGGCTTGGTTCACAATCTGTCTCCCAGATCCAACTCTTAGTGATGCCCAGGATAGCAATTTTTCTGAGGTGGGCACATAGATTGAGAAATAGCATGAAATAGAAAACTCCCTTCATGTAAAATATCAAGTAGCCATAACATTACAACATTCAGACATTACCAGTCAAGGCCTATGCTGAGCCAGAAGTAGAGAAAAATTAAAAAACCCCCACCTGATTATATTACCAGACTCCCATAGCTATCCAATCCCATTGTTTATC